ATATTTTGTACACTGAGAAGTATGGATAGTTTTAAGGTTAGTATTAGCCAATATATAAGCAATATTAACAGTTTCAAGTTAAGTAGCATATCAGGGGTCCAGGAAGTTGATTCTGGGCAAGATTAATTTGTGAGTGGCGTATTTCACCACAGATAAGCCAAATTTTGAAGATAAAAAAAGGTGTCAGCTTATCTAAAGGTTACACTTTCATCAAACTCATTTGTGATAAAGGGGTGTGCATTTTTGTCGGAAACCAATGTTAATCATTCACAGTTTCAACAAAATATTATGTGAAAGGACCTGCTAAACATTGTAATTTTAACAAAAAAAATCCAGGATATGAGTGTGTCATGAACATACCGGTAATATTTTTTAAAAACTTTTATTTCTAAATCCCAGTACCCCCTGCATATCACATGGGGAGCTTACAAGCTTGTAGTTCAATTAAATATTCATTGAAGAATCATGACTTCATCAAGAAACTTTAATATGCATAAAAAACTCCCTTTTCTATGTCAGTAATAACAACAGCAAGAATATTTGCTGAACAAGAACATCACATTGATAACACGAGTTTGATGTCGTCTTCATAATTCATCAATGTCTGCACATTTGTCTGACGATGTTTGAAGGTTAATGGGTGGCTTTGACTGGGATCCGATCAAGGGAGATCACCCAATGTATGTCTCATAACAAGAGGTGAATTTGTGAATATTTAACGTCACATCAGCAATACTTCAGTCATATCGTGATGACTGATGACAAGGAACAAATGCTGGTGAGTGAGTTTAGTTTTATGGCGCTTTTAGCAATATTCCAGTAATATCACGGCTGGGGACACCAGAAATGGGCTTCACACATTGTACCCACGTAGGGAACCCAGGCCGTCGGCGTGAAGAGCAAACGCTTTAGCAACTAGGCTCCCACACCGCCCCTAAATGCTGGGGACAGTCCACGACATTGGAACAAAATACCAAATGTTTGCTACCACTTCTGTTTTCATAACACGCTATAGTCTGTTTGCACTGAAAATTCCACTTTAAACAAAAAAATACCTAGAATAAAGTGGAATTAATATTGTGAATCCTCATAACTTTACCTTGCCAATTGAACATTTAAATCTCAGAATTTTATTCAACTAGGATAAAAGTTGTTTAACAAACGATCATAGTTTCAAATCGCTATTATTGGTTTGTATTACAAAGGGGGTATGCACATTAAATGAAACACCGAGAACAAGAAGGGTTGGTTTAAGTTCACATTCATCACATACCGCACATGCATTTGTTTCACTGTTCCAACTACTCCGCTTACCCCCTTGTAATACAAACCAATAATAGCGATTTGAATCTATGATCGTTTGTTAAAGAACTTTTATCCTAAGTTGAATAAAATTCTGAGATTTAAATGTTCAATTGACAAGGTAAAATTATCAGGATTAGCAATCTTCATTTCACTTTATGTGATTAACTTTTTTGCTTAAAGTGAAATTCATCGGTACATTTTCACTGCAAACAGACTATAGTGACATATTTTTAAATCCAAGATGAAAGAAAAAGTGGAAAGTAAGTCATAAGTAAGTTAATTATCTGGTGACACCCATGAGAGAGGATTTTAACCAAAAGAGTCAGTACTACGGAACAAGATTCAAACCATTACAAGAGTTGCACCTTTAACCACTGGGCCACCTTCAATGTAGTCCCCAAAGCTGGAAATGGATGAAGGTCAAGGTCAGGCCTCCTGCACAGTGTAACATATGATGTGATATAGATATATTTTATTGCTGGACTGAACTAAAACGTCAAGCATATTTAGCAGACAAGAGAATGGCAGATCAAACACAGATTTTTGACTGTGACAGGTCATTCTGCATGGATCCAACAAGACAGAACATTTTCAGTGCTTCACATTGCAAGGTATTTCGTTGGAGTATGAGTATTGACAGTACACTAAAAAGAAGCATTAACAGATTTACATAAAACTTAAGATTTTAAGAATAACATATTACCTCAATTTCTTATAAAGTATATCTAAAGGCAAGAGTCAATAAACTTTTTGTCTAAATATTATAATCCCACAACATCAAAATGAAATCATCCATTCAATTTGATCATTTCTAATCTGGCAAAACCGGACACCTTGGCAACTGAACTTGAATTCCACAGTTCCAGGTGTTTTAATAATTCATTATTGAATCATACCTGTATATTTCACATTGCTTCTTGGTTGATTACAATGTCAACAAAACAGTAACAGACATTGGTAACAAATAACATTAACAATCTTAAATTCATTGCTTTGTTCATAATGCATATTTAAGACAAATACTGAGACAAGTTTATTGAACAAACATTGGGACCCTTTTAGTTTATACAGTCTAATCATGCTGGATTTGGCAAGGAAAGGGAGACAATCACATAGATGCTGTCATCCATGTATCCATGGTAACAGGTCAAGCGTTAGGTGTCAATAATGACTTATCCATATCTCAGGATGGTTGGTTTTTTTTTCAAATCCAAAATGAATACCATGTAAAAAGTAATTCATAACAAAGATCTATTAAATGTAATATTTTACATTTGGTGTCATGAAAATATGAAACAACAAATTCTGGTTGCATGCAAATTGTTCTCCGTACCTGACCAGAGAGTGAGTTTAGCTTCGTGCCAATATCATGGCGGGTTGACACCAGACTTCAAACATTGAACCCATGTGAGGAATCGATCCCGGCAAACGCTTTAACTACTAGGCTACCCCACCGCTTGCCTGACCAGAGAAATGAAACGATTTGTCTCGATAAGAATCAATCTTGTCACAAATACTACTCAACTATATAGGGATCTGTCATTTCTTTATGTACAGAAATTCCTTAATATATGTTGAGTGGCATAATACATTCAAACTGTGTTCCAAAAATATCATGAATTTTGAAAATTCTACCTGATAGATCAGAGGTTTCCAACCACAATAATCAGTATCAACTAACAATTCTTAGAAATGCTGTTTCACCAAAAACACATGTCTCTTATTTTGACAGATACAAAATGACATGCCTCAACTATCCCGTGTGATTTGGCCACTGTGCTTTAAACATCACATGTACTTCAAGCATACCCAGGTGTGTGGTTAATTGTGAAAGCCAATTGTGATGCCTCATGTTGATATGGATATGGTGCAGGCAAACCTGGATTTAAACAAACGATCGAAGGTTGTACAACTTATATGACTGGCCACTTGTTCCTCCAATCATTCCTGAATGACAGTTGTTAGTGTCATACAACTTGCCTCAATTTGAGTAATTGTTGCATCTGTTCAAAATACTCTCTTTGATAAAGCCTTCATTGATAAAACGTTCATACCTATCTCACAAAACTAGACAAAATATGTATTTAGTTAGAGTTACAATATATATCTGAAGTTACATGGTTTCGCCTTAACATACTGATATTTCTGAAAAAATATACATTTCTTTAATACCCATACTGAGATGTTGCTTGTACATTCAAATAAGGTCCCCACTGTAAGCTTCATAAGGCTATCTGAGAGTTGGCAGCATACAAGTTCACTGTTTCCATCACTCAACTACTGTGTGACTGATCAATAGCACAGAGGCACTGGAGCTCTCCTTCAGCAAAAAATCCATGTTGACAGTTGACGTTTGTATCAAAAGGTTGCATAATGTTATCCTAAAGTGAGTTGGGTTTTATTGCATCTCTAACAGTACATCCAATTTTGTGAATTATTTCTAGGATGTTTTGAATTAAGAAATGCCCATTTCAACTGAAACATCACAATACATCTACATAACATATTTAAAAAGTAAAATTACCACACAATTTCAGTGCACTGTCAACTGTGTGCACTGTGAATTTTCAAAAAATGGATGTGGTTGTGATAATTTGCACCGGAACCTCTAGAATGGAACATGGAGACATCATTTGGAACAAATATCATTCTTTCATGGACACTCGTTTTGGACGAGTATGTGTGAACTAAAGACACCAATAGACAGAGAATTTGAACAAGCACGACTTAATGTAAAGTCAGCCTGGTCTCATACCAGGCAGGCTAAGAATCACACCATGTTTATAAACACATTTACATATATACATGCTCAGCTTCTCAGTGTGATCTTGAGCGTGGCATTTGTCAGTGAGACATATGTACAGAAGTTGCATACAAGTGAAAATAGGTGTAAAAATATGTACAAAACACATTTTATCTCATAAATATTTTCAAATAAAACAACACTGTTTCTGAAGAAACCATCAATGATTACACTGGGCAGTTCAGGTATAGAAAATATTTGCTATCGCAACATTATCAAATGTTAGTCAAGTATTTACATTTCTTACACGAACCAAAAAATTCAAAAACCCTTTGGAAGAAACCTAAGGATTAATGTTTTCTCCTAATTCTACAAACTTTAAAAACTCTACTCCTTCTTATGCAAACTACATCATGTTTGGAAAAGGGACAATTTAGACAGAATTTATTTTTATCAGAATTTTAACTGCTAAAGAAGTACTGAAACAAGAGATCGCTAGTATTCAGTCAAAATGAAATCACTTTCACATCATCATTAACAAGAAGGAATAATGTGAAAAGGATGACATCATAATATCAAAGTAAGTATGATATGTTACCAGTAAAGAGAAACCTCTTGTGAATGATATTGCACATTGAGACAGATCTAACATTATAGCGCCTTACTGTCAGTTTATTGTACTCAACCCATTCAGGAAGCAGTAATAGTTTTCTGGGCTTTGCCTAGATCTAACAGTGAGGTGAGTTTGAAGCTGATTTGAACAGTATTTCATTTCTATAATAGTCCATGGTTGCCGTTGTACAAAGCGATCTTAGCACAGACTGACTGACTGAGTTTGGTTTTACGCCGCTTTTAGCAATATTCCAGCAACATCACGGCGGGGGACACCAGAAATGGGCTTCACACATAGTACCCATGTGGGGATTCGAACTCAGGTCTTCTGCGTGATGAGCCAACGCTTTAACCACTAGGCTACCCCACCGCCCCCTTAGCACAGACATCGTATCTCTCATGTCTAAACATTGACTTACGACAGTCGTAGCGCTAAGGTTGTTATGTATGACTGCAACCAAGGCAAACCGATCAGAAGTGTTTGGTGTAAATACCAAGGGAAAACTCAAGACAAATCTGAGATTCGAAGCCCCGATCATATGTCTATAGCATGCTCAAGAGACAGAAATCTCCGGAGCAAATTGCAGTGTGTTTGATGACTGGGCCACCCATGATTTATCTACCATTATTATAACACTTCTTTGCCCATAAGACAATACATTAGTTATTAATGTTCACCTTCATCACGTTATAATGCATCCTCAGTATCTCCAGGTATCCAAAACCCTTGGATCCACACCAACCCCTGGATCCACACCAACCCTAGTAGCCACACCAACCTGGATCCACACCAACCCCTGGATTAGCCAGCCCCCAAGCCTGGATGGATCTGGATCCACACCAACCCCTGGATGCACACCAACCCCTGGATCCACCACCCTAATCCACACCAAGCCCTGGATGCACACCACCCTGGATCCACACTAACCCCTGGATCCACTTCCAATCACAAATCCGTGATAGTCCTGGGATTAGATCAAGGAGTTAGTGCTGGTTCACCCAAACTATAGCCCTGAAAATTTAGAGGATGTTTATAACGATGTTTGGATAAAATAAATAAATTTGAGTATATAAATACAGTCTCAACCATAAGAGCTACCACTGGGTATGTTTCAATGGCACAATGATCGAAGACAAGATCCACAGACTAACAAAGACAATTTCATCCAAGAAAATCCTGAACATTTTCCTAAAAACAGGAGAAAATCGTCCACATATAATTTTCCTAAATTCAGCAAGAACTGGTCACGCTTTTGGTTTCCTTGCAGCACGACAGCTGTTTAAAATCAGGCCGATAATTGGAAAAATAACAACATGAATAGGCGCGGTTGTTAACAGCAGGTTGGTAAATCAACACTGTCTTCACAACAAACAGGCTTGGATGGCCTTAAAGACCATTTTACCCTTTCAACAACAAGTGAGAATATAGTTGACATATTCTAAACTAATGAGCAAGTCACAACCTTCTGTAATGGTGCCAAGCAACAAGGGGACATAACCCAAATGTGTGTACTGGTGCCAAGCAACAAGGGCAGATAACTGAGGTGTATTCAAGGCAGACCTCCTGATGCTAATAACTGTCAAGGCCATAGTATTCAAATATTTCTTCCCCAAAACAAAGATACAAAATATGTGTTGTGAATTACAACCATGGCTCTTATGTCTACATAAATCTTCCATATTTAGACTGAAGTCCTTCTGGAAAGGTTTAAAGGGGATGATTTTCTCCAGTAGTAAGGTTTAGACAGGATACTTTTCTCAATAGGAAGATTTTGATAGGATTCTGTCACAAGATAGAGGCATTAACATCAACTTCCTGATTAGAAAGTCATCCATGGAGAAAGGTATCATGGAATAAAACATCTGTCATAATGAGACAGGAAAACTGTATGTTACAATTCCTTGTAAACCCCAGTTTACATGTGACAATTATGTAACGTTACATCTCTCAATAAACTCAAGTTGCCAACCTGAATTCCTCTCATCTACCTTTGTTTTTTCTAGTCCAGTTAATGTAATGGAAGCCTTTACCTAGTGAGTTTGGTTTGACGTTGCTTTTAGCAATACTCCAGCAATATCACAGCGGCGGACACCAGAAATGGGCTTCACAAATTGTACCCATGTAGGGAATTGAATCTGAAAATTCAGCGTGACAAGGGAAAGCTTTAACCACTAGGTTGCCCCACCTCCCATCTTTATTTGGAAAAATCCCATGCTCTCAGCTGTCCATTCTGTTCCTATAAAACTAAAAGATTACAACCTAGAAGGTTCACACGGTTGTTTTCACAATCTATTATTGCATACATATTTCAATTTAAACATGCCACTATTTTTATGTAATTTGATATTCCTGATATAATAACTATCTAAAACGATATACAATTTACCTACTAGCAAGGATACATTACAAATACATAGAGGCTAATATACAGTTTAAATTATCAAATAAATATCAGATGTTATCAGATCTTCACGCACCAAAAATGGAGGCACGCTTGTCTGGCGCCTCAGTGAGCATTTGTTTGAGTGTAACCAAGGCAACCTATTGTTGTGAATGCATAGTTCCAGAACCAGAACTCTGTCTATTACAATGGAGGAAGTGGTAACAAGGGAGAAATACCCTGACTGAAGAACATCACCAACATACACAGACTTCACCAGTAGCAAACACATAGACCCAGCACCATGTACTATACTACGCTTCCTGGTTAAAAGTTAGCTGGTCTTAAGGCTAATGGTTAGTGAGTCAGTTTAGTTTTACGCTGCTTTTGGCAATATTCCAGCAATGCTCACGGCTGGAGACACCAGAAATGGTGTCACACATTGTGTCCATGTGGGAAATCGAACCCGGGTGTGACAAGCGAACGCTTTAACCACTTGGCTACCCCAACCCCTTTCAGGCAATTGGTTAGAGATGCACATTAATTGAAAGTCAGCTGGTCCAGGCTAATGATCGAGTGTGCACATCGTTTAAAAGTCAATATGTCTTCAACACATTCAGGCTAATGGTTTGTCAAAGGTTCAAACAATTCTTCTCCTCCTCCTTCATTGGTCCTCTTCAGCCAATACTAATCTCATCTCTTTATGCAAACATTGAGTCATCAGTTTGAATCATATATATGAGTTACTGCTGCTTACAGCTTCCTTTCGATTCCTTCTTGCTTGGTCTTGCCTCTTGACTTTGCCGCTTGGCCTTCCGGGACTTGTCCAAAGTTGACCTCTTCTGACCTTGAACCGGTTGCCATGGATTTATGACAGGCCCTTCCGGACCGGGTTCTTCCTCCATGCGACTCAAGGTGCTCACTGTGCCTGTAGACTCTGCAACATGTCACCAGGTAAATCACTACATCTAATGACAAACACTTTGCTGGTTTAATTCACATTTTAACTTTTGCTTTATGGATCTGTCGTAAAGTCAGGCATTGCTACATGGCCTTGTAAGTCTAGATATACAGTACTTTTAAAGTTGATAATGTTTAACTCTGCACTCAGACCAGACAATCAGTAACTGACCCCCTCAGCATCGACCTACTCAGAGTGACACAACGTAATGGATCAACCATGTTACCGAGTCTGACTACCCAATCCCGTAAGTTGACTCTTATATCTGGGGTGCTGAAGACCAATTCCTGGATCTTCACAACGTGGTCAAAACCTAGAAGTTGTTACTGAGGCATTGGTGGTGGAATTGGGTTTAATGTTGTGCTTGAGAATATTTCGCTTATATGACGACGTGCAGTGTGTGTGTGTATGTGTATGTGCGGCTGCTTGTACTAGCCCAAACTGATGCTGGTTTTATAGTGCTAGCCAACTGAGATACCATGCCGTAGTGAAGTATGAATACCCCACTCAGACACATTATACTGACTCCGAGACGACCAGTCCTTGTTGTACCCATTAATGCTGAGCGCCAGGCAGGGACAACAAGTAACTTATAAAAGTACCAATAGTTTGTTTGAAAAAAAATTTCACTGAAAAATACCAAATAAACAAACAACTATTACTGAGAAAGTGTAATCCCAAATATAAAATATGTCATATGAGGCAGCAGTCTGTATTCGAGTCTGGACCAGAAAAGCCAGTGATCAACAGCATGAACATCAATCTATGCAACTGGGATACGATGTGTCACCAAGTCAGCAAGCCTGTTCACCCGATCCCGTTAGTTGCCTCTTACGACCAACCTGCGCCTTGATGCCTTAATGTTAAAGTTTTGTCTTGCATATTACATCTGTGACTACTTGTGAAGAATTGGTCTTCTGTAACCTATGCTTCTGGTAAGAGGCGACAAACGGGATCAGGTGGTCAGGCATACTGCTTTCTTTATTTTTTAATATTTTTTTTTATTTTCCATATTTTTTTTTCCAAGCAAACATGTATAGTTTCATAATGATACAATGGTATATGTATAACTGGCTGAAAAAGTACAATTGGCAGGATTACTTTCCAGTAATAAATGTAAAGTTGACCAATACTGAAAAAAATATTTGGTCAGTTCCTGTTGATAGGTAAACATATCTTGACATATCATAGTGAAGGACAATTTCATTTTTTAAATATTCTAACTTTGGTCTGAAACAATTTATGCTGCATCTATAGATATGGTGTTTGACTACTGAAATGATTTCATTAATAGGATTATTGTTCTTTCCTTTCAATCCCAATATAACGATTTTATTTGTAAATTCCAGTTGTAACCGTACTGAGTTCAATCAGTAATTGTCTTGTTGGGAGAATATTGTGGATAATTCTATATTGCAACCATTTCAAGTCTATGCTTTGCGAACATATATTTGCAATAATGTCAAAAAAAATTCCAGTCATTTTCAGTAAAATCACTCTGTAGAACTCTTTCCAATTTTGAAAAGCTTGGCAACCAAACAAATTTGGAATTCAAGAGGGAGGCGTTATACTTTTCTACTCCCAAATGAGTTAGTTGACACTCATGATGTTGATCACTAGATTGTCTGGTCCAGACCCGATTATTTACAGACCACTGCCATATAGCTGGAATATTGCTGAGTGTGGCGTTAAACACCAACCAAGACAAACCAATACATCTGAAACTAATGCTTACACACAGTGTGCAAATTCATTATTATATTACACAACGCGATCATGAAATTTAAAAGAAATATGTCAGATAGCTGTTGGTTATTAGGTTAGAGATTATTCAATAAATACATTAAAACAGTTACAATAATAGTTTCAGTCTCCACTGAAAGGCTATTTGTCCTGAAACGAGATACATGAAAGAACAGCAGGAAAAGCAAAAGCTTCATCTCACTCTATGTGAGTATGTCATTCAATGCTGAAACACATGGGCACACACATGGAGCAGTTAGATAGTTTCCCCACCCTTACCACCTTGACAGTGTCCCCGCCCTTACCACCTTGACAGTGTCCCCACCCTTACCACCCAGACAGTGTCCCAAATCTTACCACCTGGACAGTGTCCCCACCCTTACCACCTTGACAGTGTCCCCACCCTTACCACCCGGACAGTGTCCCCACCCTTACCACCTTGACAGTGTCCCCACCCTTACCACCTTGACAGTGTCCCCACCCTTACCACCTTGACAGTGTCCCCACCCTTACCATCTGGACAGTGTCCACACCCTTACCACCTGGACAATGTCCCCACCCTTACCACTTTGACAGTGTCCCCACCCTTACCATCTGGACAGTGTCCACACCCTTACCACCTGGACAATGTCCCCACCCTTACCACTTTGACAGTGTCCCCACCCTTACCATCTGGACAGTGTCCACACCCTTACCACCTGGACAATGTCCCCACCCTTACCACCTTGACAGTGTCCCCACCCTTACCACCTTGACAGTGTCCCCACCCTTACCACCTGGATAATGTCCCCACCCTTACCACCTTGACAGTGTCCCCACGCTTACCACCTGGACAATGTCCCCACCCAGTGTCCCCACCCGTACCACATTTACAGGATCACAACCCTACCAACGATTACTGCGACTCTTATGCTGGGTCCCCACCCTCACATCAATACACCCCATCTTCCATCCTAGTTGCGGTCTTCCTTCACAACACAAGGAAGGCTGCAAACACTGGTCATTGCCCCTGCAGGGTTGACCACATCCCTTCCCCTACAACAATACAAGGCCAATCACATTGCCCGTACTACCTTGATAGTGTCCCTTCCCCTACAACAATACAAGGCCAATCACATTGCCCGTACTACCTTGATAGTGTCCCTTCCCCTACAACAATACAAGGCCAATCACATCGCCCGTACTACCTTGATAGTGTCCTTTCCCCTACAACAATACAAGGCCAATCACATCGCCCATACTACCTTGATAGTGTCCCTTCCCCTACAACAATACAAGGCCAATCACATCGCCCGTACTACCTTGATAGTGTCCTTTCCCCTACAACAATACAAGGCCAATCACATTGCCCGTACTACCTTGATAGTGTCCTTTCCCCCCTACAACAATACAAGGCCAATCACATTGCCTGCATTACTACCTTGATAGTGTCCTTTCCCCTACAACAATACAAGGCCAATCACATTGCCCATACTACCTTGATAGTGTCCTTCCCCTACAACAATACAAGGCCAATCACATCGCCCGTACTACCTTGATAGTGTCCCTTCCCCTACAACAATACAAGGCCAATCACATCGCCCTTACTACCTTGATAGTGTCCCATCATTGGGTTCCAGTGTCCCTTGAGGCGACGGAGACTCCCACGGAGTCCAGGATCCCACTCAAGGTCCACATCTGTGGGTGCAAGTGCAGCAATCACCTCTAGTTAGTCAAGCTGATGGCATACGTGGTTAGTGCAATCACACACTCACAGGGCTCAAACTAGCGCTTAATTGTTACCTTTAAAAGGGAGTCTACAGAGAGGTGGAAGGAAATGATGAGTGTTGTATTACACTGCTGTGAGCAGCAATGAGTTGTATCAAGGTAAGTCAGATTATTTAAGGAGGAAAGCTAAAGCTGATGTAAGTGTTAGACACATCAGTGAGTGAGTGAGTTTAGTTTTACGCTGCTTTTAACAATATTCCAGCATTATCACGGCAGGAGACACCAGAAATGGGCTTCACACACTGTACCCATCTATTCGGTGTGATGAGCACTTTATCCACTAGGCTACTGCACTGCCCTGTAAGACATATGAAACCGAGGAGTACAGGTATGGTGCTGATACACCAGTGAATATGGGATTCAAACCCATTACCATGATGTCATGGCAGATGACAGGGACAATTTTCTTCACCAGGGATTTGGAGCAAAATGGATACAAATTTGTTTAACATCTTTCTTTTTCAATAGTAAATGTTTCAGTTTCTAATAGTCAGAGACACTTGGAGAAAGAACTGAGGGTCGGTCAGCTGTGAGAAGAAAATATTGATGAGGAGAAGAGACTCTGCAAAAATGGTTTCAAGGCATGGACTTAACAAAAGCTTGGTCAGATTGGATGAGTCCCGCTAACATAAACTGAACACTAGCGGAGCCCTGGAGTGGTGAATGTAATCTGTGAATATGTTAACATGTTAAAACAGTAGGGGTGAAACGGTATGCTCTTACCAAGCTTGGTCAGGTACAGTGCGTATTAATCTGTGGTATGTACAAGCCCTTCGGTTCGGTATATGAGATATGATCATAATGCAGAGAATTGACAAGAAGATGCAAACCTTACATTGTTTAATAACACTGAAAAAACATTTCCACAATCCATGTTATTTTGATTAACAAAATAGAAATGACGGTATGAAAACCGAAAATAGCAATTTTGGGATTGCATTATGGTATACCGAACCATAAAAATAGTGAATTTTTGGATTGCATTATGGTATAATGAACCGAGGGCAAAATACTGTGGTTCTACTACCACTTCACCCCTATAAAACAGATAAAGGGTCTGTAGCTCACATAACTCAGGAAAGTGTAAGTGTCCCTAAACATCGCACCTCCCGCTGTGTAACAGCAGCCTTTAATATTCTGGACCAGACAAACCAGTGACTGACATTATGAGCAACAACCCATGCTTACAGGGTATGGTTACCAGTCGTCAACCACGTTGTTGTGCCAGACCACTCCATCCACAAAGTCACCTCAAACAGGTTTTAGGGCACCTATGCTATGATGGAATCCCAACTGCAAGGAGTGGATGAGTGAGTGAGTTTAGTTTTAAGCTGCTTTAAGAATATTCCAGCAATATCACAGTGGGGGATACCAAAAATGGGCTTCTCACATGTGAGGAATCAAACCCGGGTCTTTGGTGTGACAAGCAAAAGCATTAATCACTAGGCTACCCAACTGCATCATAGGTTCCTGAATGCTGACCTCCTTTACATGGGTGCATATATTCTCACATTTGTGGATATTTGATTCACACATATTTCACCGCATGCCCATTTCTTGTGTCCCTTGCCATGATATTTCAGGAATATTGCTAAAAGCGTGTAAAAACACAGCTCACTCACTCCACAAGCAATATACGAAGAATGATTTGGATCCATAATCACAGTATTCTGGCATCTCTGCCCTCAAACCAAAATGGAGAGAAAAATGAAATGGTGGTTTAATCTTTTAGCATATGAAACATTTCCATACTTCCAGAATCACCTCGTATGATTTCTGACTGGGACACTAACCCCTGAGGAGTGGATCCTGGCACAACAAAGGGACACAACTATGTAAGCATGGGCATCTCAAACTTAACATGATGATGATTTGAAACGTGATGAAATGTATTAAACACAAGTGTTAATTGAAAGCAACTAAAATTGTTCATAAATGAATTTATGTGACTGTAAGATTAAATATCAGACTTGTATAGACTTAAAACACTGAAGGGCTAACAAATTAATTTGTTGAAATGTATTCTGGATGAAACATATTTGATCAATGATTGATTAAACAAAGCTGCCCAAGCAGATTTTTGCATGACAATTCTGGGAATTTGACAATAATTTACTGACATACTCAAAAAGGGTTTTCTTTGATATTTGTCAATCTACCATGACTTAAGTAAATACTGGATTCTGATTGGTTGATTAAAGTCATTCAGTGGCAGGTAACCACGTTATATACCTCTGATTTTCCAACACAGTATGTTTATCTTTAATAATTCACTAATAAATCTGCTTAGGAAATCTGAATTCAGACTAAATATTTACAATATTGTTTATTAATTACTGATACTAAATATAGAAGAAAAAATGTGGAAAACCCCACAAAACTGACCAGATCCCCAGGTAAATACCATTCAGTCATACAAGTCTGTTATTTAATGATCAAAACTAGCAGGTGTGCCACAGAAACCCAAATGTGAGGCAAACTAAAATCAACCAAAGCTGGGTGGTATTGGTGGCATTAGGCTGTTTGCTCAACAACTAGTTATTTAAAATACATTAGATTTCAGAACTAAAGAAAAAGCAGTAGAAAGAACAAGTTAGTTGTTAAGATAACAGTGTCACTTGCCATCAAACTTTTCACAAAGGTATGACTAGTTGTTACAATGTAGTATTTCATCTTAATGTGGATTAATACCTACCATCAGTCAAAGGCAGTGATCTGGAAAGCGGTATCTGTGTTTTGACTTCGGTCTGGTCAGCAATATGTATATCTTGTTGTCGTCTCTTGTAGGTGGGGTCAATGGCTGCAGCAATATTAAACTGTACGGGCGTGCTAACAGCATGACTCGAACCCATGGACCGATCTGGACTAAATGATCTGTAAATATGCACGACAAATTTGTCAGTTAAATATTCAAACATTTTCAAAACACATTCAACATAAAGGGAAACTGGAGATCAATGTTGTCCCTGAATCCCATGAGGGGTACACAGAGGGGACAATAAATACATTCCGTTCTTGAATCCTAAGGAAGTAATAAGGTAACAAGAAGACAAAGTCATCAATATCCCCCGCAATGGCAAAATACTCTTCATGAATATGTCTACTAGTTATGATTATGTCAAATGTTTTGGTGTGTATATGGCAAAGTGGAAGGAGAGTATTGAAAGGTTTTTAAGTTCTGTTCCAGAAAGGAGCACTACCACCAAATTCAGTCGAAGCTAAACTTGCTGGCATGGAAACACAAAAAGTATTTTATTCAGAATTCCAAAACTACCAAGAGGCACCAGTAGACCACCAGACCTATCTATGTGCCAAGCTTGGTGAAGAAATAGTTAACGGTTTTAAAGTTCTGCTCTGGAAAAGAGCACTACCACCAAATTCAGTCAAAGTTGAACTTGTTGCCATGGAAACGTAAAAAATAATTTTATACAGAATTCCAAAACTTCCAAAAGGCACCAGTACACAACCAGATCTATCTATGTGACAGGTTTGATGAAGAAATAGTGAACGGTTTTGAAGTTCTGCTCCGGAAAAGACGAATGTGCATGGACGGACGCATGGACGCACGGACAGAGCGCATTTTAATCCCCACCCCCGCAAAATGTGTTGGGGGGGATAATAAGGCATGAGCACCTGGAACAGGTGGAGAGGTGTAGGGAATATATTGGACCGATTCAGTTCTTGAATCCTGTGGGGTGATAAGCATGAAATACAGGGAGCCTATTCAGTCATGTAATACCCATGGGGTCAGGGGAATCACATTATTTATTCAGGTCTATTCTCAAGTCACCAGTAAAGAACTGAAAATCTATTCTGCAAGTTAGTCAACACCATGGGAAATGGGAAAAACTGATGACTTTACAAGAAACATGCTCCTTAACAACCAAGACACATCGCAACTGACCTGCTACCATCCTCATCGCTATGGTAACTCCCTGGCGGTGAGGGTGATGGCGCCATATGTTCCTCCTGTGACACCCGCCGATCGCGGTGGTGAGAAGGCACGTGATGGGGCGACATCCCGTCCAACCAGCGCTGCATGTCCCGAGCTTGATCCACCGGCATGTCCCCCGAGGGGGGATATCTCCCTCCCGCACTCCGCTCCTCCTGAATACGTTGATGGGTCTGGTAGGAGGGGGGTTCCCGTGGGGGGAGATTGGGAGGAGCAGACATCTGCTTGGTGACGGTTTGGTGATGGACAGATTGAGATTCCTGCGCTGGGGTGTTGCTGTTGGAGATGGAGCGGGTGTAGCTGTCTCGGCGGTACCGATGTCCGGGTGGGGATTCGCCATTTGCCTGCATGGAAATTGATTCTACTGCCGCAGACATGTTCATTCCTGATGCCATAGCTTCCTGGGCCATCTGAAATAGACCAATACATGTCTCTCTCTTTATAATTCCAGATCAGTGATCAGTTCATATTTGTTTGTTGTTGAAAGCAGCGGTCGATATGATGGTAACCTGCAAGCCTGGCCACCATATGTCTTTGGTAGCCACTTGACAAACATTGATTGTTGATGATCAATTCTAACCTGATCTTCACAAGTACAGCAAGTATATAGGACCCGAGCAACCTACACTTGTCATAAGTGAGTGAGTGAAAATGGTTTTACGCCACTTTTAGCAATATTCAAGCAATATTACAGTACACCAGAAATGGGCGTTCACCAGAAATGAGCGTTCAGTGGGATGCGTAATAAGATATCCAGAAAAGCATGTTTACTCGTAAAATCGGGCAAAACTTAGAAAATATACGAACAGCTGCTGAAAACAATAGATCTGGCTATAGATGGCAATTAGGTCGCTCAGCCAGGTATGACAACGGACCGTCAACTCACTTGGCATGAAATGCACGTGCCGCCGACAGACACAAGGGGTCATCTCAAATATCTTTTATGCTTTTTCATGTGTACTGAATATGTCTCTACTGATATCTAATCTTAGGTAATATCAACCCCTATCCCCAACTTCCGTCAGAAACACCCGTCTTGGTTTTGCTTTTGAGACGACCCCTCCTACCTGTTTCTGTTTATAGTGATAGTGAGACTCCATGGCAGCTACATCCGTCATAGTTTCAGTATTAATGTTATTATTGTTTATGTCAGCTATCATTTATAATGAAGCTAAGTTTAATTTCAAAATGGACATTAAAAAATTGTCCTTTGCAATATAATATCATAGCACACTAACTTGCATAAAGGCCATGGCCTGTTCCAAATAAGTCGCTTTGGACTTAGAAAAAAACCGCATTTCTCATTTCAGCACTGATCTCTCCTCAGTAAAGCCTTTTTTCTACGTTTCCTATCTCCCTACCATTGAGACTGTAGTTAGGCCGAACTTAGTTCAACAGATATTTCACACTTACACATATTAACTACATAAATTGTAGAAATCAATGCGAAAAAAGGTTTTTCTATTTCCAACAGTACTTTAGTGACTAACTAAAACTGACTGAATGCCATGCATCAACCCAGACACATTCAGCAAATCAATTTCAGATTTCAAACACACTATTCATGGCTTTCTTGTATGATACACAATATTTTGGTGCGTTGTAAAGTAGAAACTAATTTCAGGGGTTGGTGGGATAACCTCGTGCTAGTGGTCAAAGTGTTCTCTCATCATGCTGGGGTCCAGGTTCAATTCCCAATATGGGTACAACGTGCGAAGCCCTTTCTTGTATCCCATGCAGTGATATTGCTGGAATATTGCTAAAAGCGGCGTAACTTCCTTACTCACTCACTAATCTGTGTATGTTCAGTTCCAATAACCAACCTGCTGTTGTCGCTGCTGTTCAAGTAGTTGCTTCCGCCGCTGTTTGACCTTCCTGGCCTTGAGTTTCTCCTGTTCCTGGATGACCCTGGCCAGCTGCTCGTCCTGCACCTCGATCTGACGCAGCTTGCCTCGGTCCACCTCAGCTTTCGTCCGCTGATAATTAACAACAAACCTCACATATTCAAGAACAGATTTTTTACATCATGGAAGGAGGGACCAGGCAATATTTTATTAAATTGATAATTCCAGAAAACAAATTGACATATTTGTCATGTTTCTTGAAAAATATTAGCTGGAAAGTTGAAAGTTTCCCTTTTTGATAGAATTATTTGTCTAATGTCAGTAAAGTGGTCTTCTGTTTGGTTAGTCAATCAAATGTCATGAAATCATTTGCAATTTCAATTGAGATCATTGTGATTGGGGTCAGGCTCTATGACCTGGTTCCTGCATGTGACTGTATCCAAACTGAAAGGTATGATGCTTATAATATTCATCACTGGATTGTGTGGTCCAGACATGATTATTTAAAGACTGAGGTCTGTTTGCCACCAGACAAACAAACACAAAAGAAGTTGGCCGTCCATGTACTCAAGGGAGATAACTCTGTCAGCATGACATCGCACCTTGTGTTCTTGGTCCTGTAGTAGACGTGCAAGTTCCTGGTCGAAATAAAAAGACAATAACACATTACAAGGGTTGCAGGTATGTTCTCATTAACTGTTAACACAACTGGAATACTGTTCAAAGCAGCTTTAAAGCCAACTCATTCTCTTAAATTTTTATTGTTTCCCCGACTTTTATGCCACTTTCAAATGTTAAGTACTAGTACTTCATGTGTCTGGGGGGCGGTGGGGTAGCCTAATGGTTAAAGCGTTGGCTCGTCACGCCGAAGACCCGGGTTCGAATCCCCACATGGGCACAAAGTGTGAAGCCCATTTCTGGTGTCCCCCGCCGTGATGTTGCTGGAATATTGCTAAAAGCGGCGTAAAACCAAACTCAGTCAGTCAGTCATGTGTCTGGACTTAATGACGATGACTGAATTGAAATTTAATGTCATCTTGACAATATTTTAGCCATATAACAGCCGGCACTAGATGAAACATGGCAAAGTAATGACTAGGTTGCAAAATAATAACATATAGTCTTCATCACAATGATAATTGTTAATCTGAAATTTTTTCCAACAATTAAATTATCGCCAATGGCTAGAGTAGCCTGATATGTATGAGGAAGGTTTTGGGAAATTCTGTTAATGCCATTATCTATCTGACAGTAGTCATATATTTTCTGTTATCTATTGGTCAAGTGGTCCACTGGCTGTACAAATGAATCGTCAGATACCAGAAGGGTCAGTGGACCAGCCTTGATCAGAAAAGTGAGTGATTTTAGTTTTACACTACTTTTATCAATATTCCAGCAATATCACAGCGGGGGAAATGGGCTTCACACATTGTACCCATGTCGGGTCTCTGGCGTGACAAGCAAAAGGGTTAACCATTGGGCTACCCCAACCGCCTCTCTGAAAAGCACTTTACTCAAGCCACTGATGATCTGACGAACTGGACAGTGACTAAATTTGGACTTTTGTGGCATATTTACCATAGGTTTACAAACTGAAAGAGTGAGAGAGAGTCACATGCCCTTGCTTCCATTACTTTATGATCCTGACTGAGAAGAAAGCTCACCTCATCTTGGAGTTCTTGTATTGCTCGATGTTCAACGGGATTGACCGACCCATCATTGGGGACTGTGTAGAAGTCGCTAAAGTCGCCATCATCCTCGATGTGACCGGCAGGGGTTACCCTGAAACAGAACAGTCTGGTCTTGACGTCTGCCTGACTGCCAGTATTGGAAACAGCTTGTAGACCGTCCACTACCAACACACGGCCTACGTCAGCTGTACTGACGTCTGCCTGACTGCCAGTATTGGAAACAGCTTCTAGACCGTCCACTACCAACACAGGGCCTACGTCAGCTGTACTGACGTCTGCCTGACTGCCAGTATTGGAAACAGCTTGTAGACCGTCCACTACCAACACAGGGCCTACGTCAGCTGTACTGACGTCTGCCTGACTGCCAGTATTGGAAACAGCTTGTAGACCGTCCACTACCAACACAGGGCCTCGTCAGCTGACGCCTACTGCCTGGCGCCTACGCCTGCCTGACGTCTGCCTGACTGCCAGTATTGGAAACAGCTTGTAGACCGTCCACTACCAACACAGGGCCTTCGTCAGCTGTACTGACGTCTGCCTGACTGCCAGAATTTGAATGATCACAACGTCTATAACATTTTCAAAACAAAATATATCTTTGAATGTAAAAATATTTGTGCATTTCATGATTGCAGACGTTTTTCTTCCAACTGTCAATGGTACATTAATGAATTTTCTTTGAGTGACATTTCGAGGTTGGTGTGATGAACAATGGACAGGTGAGGTGAGGGGAAATTGGGTTTAACGTCGTGCTTGAGAATATGTCGCTCATATGACGATGTGCATGCGTGTGTATGTGTATTTGCGGCTGCTTGTACTAGCCCAGACTGAAGCTGGTTTTATAGTGCTAGCTCACTGAGATACCATACCGCAGTGAAGCATGAATACCCCACTCAGACACATTATACTGACTCCGAGCCGACCAGTCCTTGTTGTACCCATCAATGCCGAGCGCCAGGCAGGGACCAACAAGTACCATATGTTAACGTCTTTTGGTATGACGCGGTCGGGGATCGAACCCGCCACCTTCCGCTCTCCGGGTGGACGCTGTAACCACTACACCACGGAGGCGGTAACTGTCAATGGTACATTAATTAAGTTTCTTTGAGAGACATTTCGAAGTTGGTGTGATGAACAATGGACAGAGTTCTAAGGATAAACAAGTTCTTTATTATCAATATGAACGACGTTTTGGTGCAACTACTAACACCGTTATCAAGCAAGTGATAACGGTTACAGCTTGCTAATGGTTTCTCGATGCTACTCAAAAAAGTTATCCGCCGTCTTCATGGAGACGTGGCAGTCACTTGCTTGATAACGGTGTTAGTAGCCACACTGAAATGTCGCTTATGTTTACAATTAAGAGTGAGTGAGTTGGGTTTTACGTCACTTTTAGCAATATTCCAGTAATAAAACAGCAGGTGACACCAGAAATTGGCTTCACACATTGTACCCATGTGGGGAATCAAACCCAGGTCTTCAGCGTGACATGCCAACGCTTTAACCACTAGGCTACCCAACCGCCCCGTTAATAATAAAGAAGTTGCATATCCATAGAAGAGTCCCCGTTGTTCATTAATGATGAAATGTCTGACAGACACATTTCTTGAATGCGCGATTGAAAATAATGAAAATGTTATATAACCATGGAAACTGAATAAACGCTGCAAATTACAGATACTAACAAGTATTTCTGCAAGCGTTACAATTGTTAAGGTGTTTGCCAGAAGATAATATGAAGAAAAATCTAAAATAAGAAAATGACATTACATGATTTCATTTAAGGAGACATCAGCACAATAAAAACCTCGAAACCAAGACGTGTCCATTGTTCTACTCACACCACACCTTCATATTACCAAAGGTTGGGATAACGAGAAAGAACGAAAATATGCCCATGGTTCTAGATGATCAGTATGTGGTTGGTTGGCTAGTTGTTTAATGTCACACTCAGCAATATTCCAGCTATATGACGACAGTCTGTAAATAATAGAGTCTGGACCAGACAAGCCAGTGATCAACAGCATTAGCATCGCTCTACGCAAATGGGATACGATGACATGTTTTTGTCAACCAAGTCAGCGAGCCTGACCACCCAATCCTGTTAGTTGCCTGAAGATCAATACTAACCTGGATCTTCAAGGGTTCGAGATATAACGAAAATATGCCCATCATTCTGGATGATCAGTATGTGATACATTTAAGTCGCTTCATCATCAGACATTTAATCAGAATAAAACAATCACATTGGTTAGAGGAATCAAAGGGTTTTAGTTTTCAAGAACTAAAAACTCCAAAGCATGCAAAATCATGTCAGAAGAAAATTCTTGTATGAAAGTTCTTGCTGAAGAAAGACCCTCCACCATTACAATAGCTTTGATATTGTAAGTTTCAATATTTACATTCATAAGTTTTCGTTGTTTTTGACAGGCATTAACCTCATAAAGAAATAATATTTCGAAAAATGTATTAAAAACATTAAGAAATAACTAAAGGGCAGACCAATTTTATATCTTGTTTTACAGATTTTTGTCCTTAGAAAACCTAAAAGCAGGAGGAAAAATCATAAAAAATAAAAATCACCATTCAAAGTAATATTCCTTTTAAATACTAAAAGCATTCTATTTTTGGCAATTAATGAAGTGTATATGCGCCAAAAAACAATAAAAAAATAATTTTTTTGTAAGTTTTCATTTTTGGCCAATAGAAACATGAGGATTTTCTTTTTTCAGCGGGGAAAAATAATTTATATTTTTTTCTTATTCTTGAAAAAATACGACCGGCGGATCCTTAAAACAAGAAATAAAATTGGTCTGGCCTAATTTTGAAATAAGTATATTTCAAATGAATACTCATACTTTTCTCATTTGATATTTCTTAACATGATCAAAATGTCCTTAAAGTAATAGTGAGACAGTGAGTGAGTGAGTGAGTGAGTGAGTGAGTATGATTTTACGCCACTTTTAACAATATTCCAGCAACATCACAGCAGGATACACAAGAAATGAGCTTCACAGATTGTACCCATGTGGAGAATCGAACCCGGGTGTTCAGTGTGAGCAGACACTTTAACCATCAGGCTACCCCACACACCCCAAGAGTGAGTGAGATGAACAAGGATCCCAATCAGGATCAAGCTGCAGATCCTGCTCAGAAAGGGGCACAACTCTGCACATAGTGAGGACCTAGACCTCATCCATGCCAAGAAATTAGTATGAGATGAACATTGAAGAAGTAAGACTAGTTCTACGTCTACAAGCAGTGTACATCCAGACTGGGGACTCGACACACAAGTTCACTGACCTGCACGGATGAACAAGGTAAATGGAGCTGTTTTCTCAGAGGATAAACTAATGGTGGACACTGATGGATTGAAGGGGTTTCATGATGCATATTTCTTGCCTACTTGATACATGACATCTTGTAATACTTGCTAAGATTTTGTAACTGACCGACAAAGAAAATCATTTCACAATAGAAGCTTGTGGTACTTTGGCCAGGATTTATGTTAGATTCCCAACTATATGCCCCTGACAGGTAAATTTAGCAAAATGATTGTGTCTGTTTACTTTACATATTTCGGTAAATTACGAGGAAATGGAACTTTTTGATCCACATTGAGAAGACATCCAATTCAAAATTGTTAATTTCGCTTTCTGATTGGCTGAGCGCTCTTCTATTGTTTTCAATGTACCCCGCTTACAAGCGAGTAACATTTCAATGTACCCTGCTGTCAATGGCAACTCATTCTGTACTTCGTGGTAGTAATTCTTTATCTCGAATAAAGTTGAATCACGTATGATGTACGGAAATTACCGATGTTTTGCGAATGCAAATCGATGGAAGAGAGATAACTCTAAATCTGTTTTTTCTTGCCAGCAAAATCTAGCGATGGCTACAAAAAGATTTGTACCCATGCTTCAAAAAAATTCAAAATTAACATTAAGGTGTTCTGTAAGATAAATACGTTGTTCACTGGTCCCTCGGGGCCTATGGGTTGATGTACCCTCGATGTTTGTTTCTGTTCAAACGTCGAGGGTACATCAATCCATGCCCCCTCGTGACCAGTGAACAACTTATAATGTACAGCTGTAGCAAAACATGAACTAGATAATGTTTCATTCTAATTTTGGAACAGGTTCAACCTCTGTCTTCAGATTCTGCTGTCCGCTAATATGGATGAACATGGTATTGATTTTTCTTATGAAAGCCGGCAATATACACATGAATACTGAATAGTGGGACTTAACAGCTACGTAAACATAGGTATCAACGTCCGCCATGTCTGGAGTGAACACTATAAAGCAAAATGAAACTAAAATTTGTGAAGTCCAAATCTGTTATTTGTCACATCACTTTATGATGGAACACTGCGAGTCCACTATCCAGTGTTAAAATATTAAAGAAACTCAAGAAAAATGCTGACAGAAGTTCTCTGTTAAATATAACAAACTAAAACAATCCCCCTGTGGCACAAATGACATACATACCTTAACAATGAACTTCCAGACTGATACCCCTCTCAGTAAAGCCAATAAAATATATAAACAAAATATATCCCGTAATAACGAATTTAGCTTTGTATTTGCCTTTTCTATAGTGATTATATTCTGTTCAACACTTGTCTTTGTGTCCCTGGATTGATCATCAGCCTTTCAAATTCTGAGACATAAAAGGTTCCCAGTACTCTAAGTTTGTTAAAAAGTGGGCTTCAGCAGAATCAGATAATTACAATCAGTATTTAACAGATCATGGCAACATTCATAAGCTGGTATTTTGTTATGAAAGGGAGATAACTCCTTGTGAATTATCTCCCTTGGACCAGGTTGGTTTTTGTATTTTTCTGCCGTTTATATATAGATCTTAACATCAATACTTGAACATATTAATAAAAAAATATACCCCAAATATTCAAAATGGATAGTAAACCAGAACCAGATATAAACCATCCCTGCCCATCCCAAGAAAAAACACAAGAGAACTCTGTCAGTGTTAGTAAGAGCAAAGCACTACTACCTTCTTCTATACCTAGAATGTCCATTTGCAGTTGTCCCCCTTTGACCACTGCCCAGATTCATGTCTTCAACAGCTGAGCCAAGTTGCTGCAGGCTCGCTGAAACATGACACAATCAGCTGACAAATCAGGAATATTAATAATTAATAGACTCTCAAATTCAATATCAGTCAATCATTATGTAATGAATGTATTTCCTCAGTAAAAAATATTCACTAGCAGTGCAGTGCTCTATGCTATTTGCTCTTGGAACAGTATCTGACCTTTACGTAAGATAAATGTAATCTGCAGTCTCACGGACGAAAGTCAACCACCATGCTGGTCAAGATAATTCACAGCTATGTGACGCATATTTTAGACATTTAATATTTTGTTGAGCATTATAGGCGTACTAGGTGAGGTGAGGTGAAATTGGGTTTAACGTCGTACTTGAGAATATTTCGCTCATATGACGACGTGCATGCGCGTGTATGTGTATGTGTGGCTGCTTGTACTAGCCCAGACTTAAGCTGGTTTTATAGTGCTAGCCCACTGAGATACCATGCCGCAGTGAAGCATGAATATCCCACTCAGACACATTATACGACTCCAAGCCGACCAGTCCTTGTTGTACCCATGAATGCCTAGCGCCAGGCAGGGACCAACAAGTACCATAAATTAACGTCTTTTGGCATGACGCAGTCGGGGATCGAACCCGCGACCTTCCGCTCTCCGGGCGGATGCTCTAACCACTACACCACGGAGGCGGTCTCAGGCATACTAAGGGATATAACTCTGCACAACGAATGGTCACCTTGGGCAACCAGCCAGAGCCCCATCTAGTGTGATCGTATTCAATAGGGCTGCAACAATTCACCCAGAACTCGATTCGATTTTCAATATTGGACCCTGGATTCGATTTTTCATACAAGTAAAAATATCACATTTCACTTAACTCTCAGAGTCGCGTTTTTTAGCGTGAAATTCATCGTCAACTTGGCAATGTCTTCTAACAACAATTCTCACTGGATGATTAGCTTGGATTAGTTTCGCCTTATTTCAGTGCTTGAAACTGCTCGAGTTAGAGACAAAATTTTGTTCTGGCTGTGTGGAAGTAATTTAAATAGGTTTTAAAAAATCAAATCAAATAGTGATAATGGTTATCGAAAATCGAAACTAAGGTGTCAGATTTGATTTTCGATGAATCAAATCAAATCGGCGCAGCCCTAGTATTCATCAGATACTGACAAGCCAAATTGATTTGATTCTAAACAGCAAATCATGCCTCTTGACTATGAAGCAACCACTGCCCCCTCTTCTATACATCACATCATATTCATAGCATACTGGCACACCAAAGGGACACAACTCTGCACAATGACGGGAGCCTTTAAGGAATTAACAACCTGCAAGTCTACCCCTGCCCCAAATTCAGGGGGCCACTACAAACAACCGTTTCTGGGATATCCTCAATTATTGTCACTCACCCCCATCAGCAGCGAGGACGAGCCGAGCCTCCTCTGTATGCTGTGCCAGCTGCCGCTCTAGTTTCTCCCTCTGTTTCTGAAGCTGTTTCTCCTTCTTCTTCTCCAGATACTTCTCGTATTTCTTCTTCTCTTTCTCCTGAATCTGTCTTGCTATTTCCTGCAATGTAAGAATACCGTTTGTACTTCTAGAGGCTGATGCTTTATCAGGATCTGATTTGACTTACATAATTAATGTTGAACAAATTAACCCTACAACATGCCAGGTACTACAAGCTTGAGTGAGTGAGTGAGTGAGTGAGTGAGTGAGTGAGTGAGTGAGTGAGTGAGTGAGTGAGTGAGTGAGTGAGTGAGTGAGTGAGTGAGTGAGTGAGTGAGTGAGTGAGTGGCTTTAGAGTGAAAAGCAAATGCTTAACCACAAAAGTAGAGTGCATAAACAAGTATTGCTCCATATAAGTGCTTCCTAAATCCATTCTGAAGTCTATCTTACAGAGCAGTCTGGGTGTCACGGACATTTCACATCAAACAAGGTTGTTTTTTCATAACAGTTAGATTTTTTGTAATATCAAAATTAGGATTCACAAAAGCATACTCAAAAGTGTACCATGATAAACATTATTTTCCTGAACTAGGAATCTTAATTACCAATAAAAGAAATCGTTTACCCTTCTGCAGTACCCCTATCTGTTAAGATCTGAACAAACCCTCCCTTCTTCATACCCTACCATCAACTGGTGCCATCACCTCAGCAGTGAGCCCTTATATGCCCTGACAGGACTGAGAGGTGCAGGGGTGTAACCCATATATCACTGTCTAAATCAAGGTAAAACAAGGCCTCCATAGCAGGGATAGGTCTTTGATGCTGACAAGTTTGACTGAACTGGTCTCGACCACTCATCATGAAGGATCTGAACTTGTTTCACATGTCTAATGCATATCACGCCACTTGTGGACTAACCCGTTATTCCATGTCTGTGGCACTCACATTACCTCTTTCCGAACATACAGTCACTAAGACAACATAACCCCTTTATTGGCACACCTACAGCTCACCTAGACTGGAATTATATGATCACTTGCCACTTAAAAGGTACAATGTACAAATGTGTAAAAAGATTTACAGCCTGAATAGTTTTTTCATGTTGTCAATAGCATATGTAGGAACAAGCTAAGGGACGTTTTACTGCCGTGCACATACAAAGGACAAGGGAAGTAACATACTATTACTCCCACAATTAATTATTGTAAGTTTATGGTGAAGAGGACTTCTGTTGAAATTCTGAACAAATATTTTTAATGTAATGAGAAGCCAAATCCAAGAATTTACATTGAAGTAATAAAGGTGGAGCTTTGGCAGTAACTAGTGGTATTTTTGCTAATCATTTCACTGAACAGTTTTGGACAGTAAACACATTTTATTACATTCATAGTGAGTGAGTGATTTTTACGCCGCTTTTAGCAATACTCCAGCAATATTACGGCAGGGGGGACACCAGAAATGGATTTCACACATTGTACCCATGTGGGGAATTGAACGTGGGTCTTCGGTGTGATGAGCGAACGCTTTAACCACTAGGCTACTCCACCGCCCCTAATACATTCATAAAGATGATGATGATGATGATGATGATGATAAAAAAAGATGGTTGGGTCAAAGGCTCACCTGGTCTTCAACTTCACGCATCTTTTGTCTCTGAAGATCCTCCACCTCCAGCTGTACCTTCATCCGCTGTGCCACCTTCTCATCCTCCTCCGCTCTGAAACAACAAAACCTCACATTCATTTTCAGATACTGGTGGATAATGACTCTTTGACTTCTGTTTTTAAGAGCATGTGTATTCACTAAGTATTGAGAGCCTGTCTACTCACTGAGCATCAAAAGCCTGTCTACTCACTGAGCATCAAGTGTCTGTCTACTCACTGAGCATCAAGAGCCTGTCTACTCACTGAACATTGAGAGCCTGTCTACTCACTGAGCATCGAGAGCCTGTCTACTCACTGAGCACTGAGACCTGTCTACTCACTGGGCATTGAGAGCCTGTCTACTCACTGGACATTGAGAGCCTGCAGCTGCTGGTACCGCTCCTCTTGCATCTGTTTCTCCTCCTCACTCTGCACAACCTTGGCTACTGGAATGTCTTCTCTCACCGTCCGCCGGTTCTTCCGATTCAAACCATAGTGGAAGTCAACTGTGCAAGACAAGCCATATCACATGAGACATACTACAAGTCACAAACTTACTAAAACTAGACCCCCAAAACACAAACGTATATAAAATATAAAGATGGTCTGTGAATAATCAAGTCTGGACCAGACAATCCAGTGATTGTGCCTGGAGAGTAATGGACAAACAACCACTCCTACTGCTTGTTATTGTGAACTACAGACTGTCATCTCAACACCTCATTCTGTCACTGAGGTGACAGTTCTGTAGAGCAGTAGACAGTTTGCCCTGAGAGAGGAAGGTTGAAGGTTTGACTTCTCACCAAAAGACATTTAACAATGGTATATGCTGATATCCAGCATTGCTATCGACAATAAGGAGATTAAGTAATTGAGTGGGAAAGGTTTTATGCCACTTTCAGCAATATTACAGCAATATCATGGTGGGGGACACCAGAAATGGGCTTCACACATTGTACTCATGTGGGGAATCAAAACCAGGTCTTTGAGAATTGAGAGTTTGATTTATTGACACAAACCAGTGGTTGATAATGAAAGCACTGTCATTACTGTGTGGGTCCAACTGCTCATTAAATTAGCTTGGTCAAAGTTGTGAAACTAGCACTCTGTATAAAGGTTCAACAATTGGCCTTGGATGGTTGACATTAACAGCCTCTGTAGCCACTTTGTCCAGCCAATACTCATGACCATCATTGGTTTAATTCTTGCATTATAGACCCGTGAAGGCTGTTGATCACTGGATTGTCTGGTCCAGACTCGATTATTTACAGACCGGCGCCATATAGCTGGAATATTGCTGAGTGCGGCGTAAAACTAAACTCACTCACTCACTCTTGCATTATATGTTGCCATAGTAACTGCTTGAAGCTAGCTACTTACACTCCTCATTCTGCATCTGGTATGCCTTGACTCCGTCCTCATGGACCAGCCACTGGCGGCACACTGAAACATACAAGTGTATAAGTGAGGGGCGTAACAATACACTGAAATATACAAGTGTATGTGTGAGGGACTTAATGATATACAAGTGTATGTGTGAGGGACTTAACGATATACAAGTGTATGGGTGAGGGACTTAATGATATACAAGTGTATGTGTGAGGGACTTAATGATATACAAGTGTATGTGTGAGGGACTTAATGATATACAAGTGTATGTGTGAGGGACTTAACGATATACAAGTGTATGTGTGAGGGACTTGATGATATACAAGTGTATGTGTGAGGGGTGTGTAACAATAGAATGACACATACAAATATACACATGAGGGATGTAACGATACGCTGAAATATACAAGTGTATGTGTGAGGGACTTAACGATATACAAGTGTATGTGTGAGGGGTGTGTAACAATAGCATGACACATACAAATATACACATGAGGGATGTAACGATACGCTGAAATATACAAGTGTATGTGTGAGGGACTTAACGATATACAAGTGTATGTGTGAGGGGTGTGTAACAATAGCATGACACATACAAATATACACATGAGGTATGTAACGATACGCTGAAATATACAAGTGTATGTGTGAGGGACTTAACGATATACAAGTGTATGTGTGAGGGACTTAATGATATACAAGTGTACATGTGAGGGGCATAACGATATACAAGTGTATGTGTGAGGGACTTAATGATATACAAGTGTATGTGTGAGGGACTTAATGATATACAAGTGTATGTGTGAGGGACCTAACGATATACAAGTGTATGTGTGAGGGGTGTGTAACAATAGCATGACACATACAAATATACACATGAGGGATGTAACGATACACTGAAATATACAAGTGTATGTGTGAGGGACTTAACGATATACAAGTGTATGTGTGAGGGGTGTGAGCATGACACATACAAATATACACATGAGGTATGTAACGATACGCTGAAATATACAAGTGTATGTGTGAGGGACTTAACGATATACAAGTGTATGTGTGAGGGGTGTGTAACAATAGCATGACACATACAAATATACACATGAGGGATGTAATAATACACTCTGTGTGATATCATATATATCACATGCCAAGTATACATGATATTTATCACACTGAATCACATGTGATAAAACAATACACATGGCATGAAACAATATAAGCCTCAGCCGAAACAATACACTTGGTGTGTAACTATTAAGTTGAGGTGTAACAATATAGGATCTAGATGTGACAATACACTGGGTGTAACAGTAGGCTGACTGACTGAGTTTGGTATTACGCTGCTTTTAGCAATATTCCAGCAACATCACGGCAGGGGACACCAGAAATGGGCTTCACACATTGTACCCATGTGGGGATTCGAACCCGGGTCTTCAGTGTGATGAGCCAACGCTTTAACCACTAGGCTACACCCACCGCCCCCTGTAACAGTAGGGCTGAGGTGAGACAATACTCTATGTGTGTAACAACAATACTCTATGTGTGTAACAACAACAATGCACTTGGTGTGTAACAATAGGCTTGAGGTGTAAGGATAGGCTTGAGGTGTAAGGATAGGCTTGAGGTGTAACAATAGGCTTGATGTGTAACGATAGGCTTGAGGTGCAACGATAGGCTTGAGGTGTAACAATAGGCTTGATGTGTAACGATAGGCTTGAGGTGTAACGATAGGATTGAGGTGTAAGGATAGGCTTGAGGTGTAACAATAGGCTTGATGTGTAAGGATAGGCTTGAGGTGTAACGATAGGCTTGAGGTGCAACAATAGGCTTGATGTGTAACGATAGGCTTGAGGTGTAACGATAGGCTTGAGGTGTAAGGATAGGCTTGAGGTGTAACAATAGGCTTGAGGTGTAACGATAGGCTTGAGGTGTAACGATAGGCTTGAGATGTAAGGATAGACTTGATGTGTAACGATAGGCTTGAGGTGTAAGGATACACTTGGCATTTGATATATTTATCACACAGCAACATACAAGGGACATAACCCATGACTTGGTGTGTAACAATAGAGTTCAGGCGTAATAATACATTTTGCATGTAAAATGAACTGGGTGTGTGATACAATATATAATCCCACTGAATCACAAATAAGGTGAACAAGGTGGGAAGATGACAGAGTTCTTCTACAACACACAATCAGTCACATCACACATGGCAGCCACCCAGTGCCTATTTCCATCATCTCTCGCAACAACCATTGGTTACTATTGTCACTGGTCTGATTTGTGAAGCAGTGACCATTTTACACCTTATAGATTCAAATACTTCAGCACAAAAGGTCAAGGCTTTATCGCTGACTGTGCTACACATTATATTTTATACAATGGCATATATACCCTTCCTTTCAATACAGGCAAGACTGTTACCTATTAGTAATGATTTATGTCAATGCTTGACAGAAACTATGTATAACTGTTGGAAACAATGTCGTGCTCTCTTGTTTCTCTGCAAGCACATGCTGCTAAAATCAATTTCAGTTGTTTGAATATAAATAAGCACATTTCCCATATCTATGATAACCTGAGTTAAAGAATACCCACAACTGGAAGGCTATTAGGCTTAACGACAAGCCATTGGCCCGAACCACAAAGCACTACAATATTTGTTATCGTACAGTTATACGAACTCATAGTGCTTGAACGCTTTTTGTGGATCGGGACCCATGAGAGATTATAAAATAAAGTTATATGAAAACACAGGAGTTATTTATGGCTGGAATATTGCTGAGTGAGGCGTTAAACAACAACCAAACATGAGCTATTTAACTATATATATCTTTGGGAATATCTTCTTTCTAACAGGGCTTCTTCAATTGAGTGAGTGAGTGAGTGAAACTACTATTCCAGAATGTCAGGATCAATGGGATGTTGGCTTATGCTGGTCAAAATTAGCCCTGACAATGAGCTGTAATATCAAGAAACAAAAGAATTATTTTCCCCAAATCTCAATGAAGCTAAGGATAAGTGAGCTGTTTGTAACGTTGCTTTGAGATGTATTTTAGTCATGTCAGCATACTGTGGAATAAAAGCCTGAAGTATTGCAAGTCTGTTTTAGGCATTCCCAAGGGGGACAACTCTGCACAGCAAACTGCAACACATGTAATGACTCGGACCTGAGAATTGAACCCATACACAAGTAATGCTATCAGCAAAGGGAGACAACTCTGCATGACAAGTGTTGTTACTCTTGACAATGAAGTTAGACCTGTCTCTATTGTTATCTTGTAACCACGGTGACCTGCAGGTCAGGTGATGGATGAATGGCCGTGGCATTGCTGACCTTGGTCCATCTTATATCTAGCTGTACAATAAATACAGAGTTTACAGAAATGAAGTTTTTCTGCATAGCCTTCTTCTTGTAGTTTTCCCGTCCTATTGTTAACGCGTGGTGTACGTCAACTGGGGAATTAGCTCATAATTAAGATGAAGTGTGCATTGATGAAGACGAAGGCATAGTTGAGTTCAAACGTCTTTAGTACATGACAAACAAATACACAAGACATGAGCGAGGTGAGCGGAGTACCTGCTCAACCCCAGGGCGTTTCCTACGAGTGGCATTATCCTGCTCGTGGTCGTCCCAACAGACAGTCCAAATACCGAACTCGTACTCCTTCACTGTCTAGATGGGAGCATACTAAGTATATATACAGTTTTGACAACAATGGACAGGCGACGACTCATCAATGGACAGACAGAAAAACAATAGCACTTCCTTGACCAGTTGATGTGATGGCAGACACGACTGTCAAGGGGAATGACCAGTTAAGGTTATAAATGTCATATACCGTGATTAATTGCCTGACAAGTCAATGTACAATGCGGAAGTGATAAGGATTACATAGAATACAGATTAGCGTCATATAATTAATTACAATAAAGTCTCACATGTCTTGACTACATAGTTTTTGAATTTTTAAATATTTGGACGATGGCTGTCCTGAATTAGTCCCTATAACACTATCGTCATACACACAAAGGTAAGCCTAACAATAGCAATGATTCATCAAAAGTACTATCCAATGATAGTGAACAGGTAGAGACCAGACTAAGCTACAAACAAAGGGATATATCCTGTAGACCAGTCAAGCATGTTGGCCCAATAACTGTGTGTTTATACACGCACAAGACGTCCTGGACAAACAGGCCAAACTAGTTCCACACGATGTTACGCCAATTCACATTCAACACATGAATGGGTTACAGTCAAAACCCTCTACTGTGAACTTGCATCTAGAACTGGGACTAGGAGATTTGCTGAGGTTGATTCACAGAATTATCTTGAACAAAGCCAAAAGAAAATAGATTACAATTGGTTTAAACTTTTTAACTGCCAACACACTCTTAATTACAGAGATTATGATATAACTAAAGGGAAGACTGCACTTTACATTATGCATTATGATGTGTGCTTTCTCTAAACAATTCTTTGTGTTAGGTGCTCATTGCCAATCAAAAACCTGTAAACAATACTATGGGTTATTTGCACTCTTCTGATCAAAAGTCTTGTTCAATCCCAAGGGTAAAGTGCCCCTTGTTGATAAAACACTGTTATATCCTCATTGTTAGGAAAACATTGTTGTACGATCCTTTGGGCTATGTGCCCCTTGTTGATCATACACTGTTGTACAATCCTTAGGCTTAAGTGCCCCTTGTTGATCAAACATTGTTGTACAATCCTTAGGCTTAAGTGCCCCTTGTTGATCATACATTGTTGTACAATCCTTAGGCTTAAGTGTCCCTTGTTGATCATACATTGTTGTACGATCCTTTGGGTTATGTGCCCCTTGCTGATCATACACTGTTGTATGATCCTTAGGGTTAAGTGCCCCTTGTTGATAAAACACTGTTGTACAATCCTTTGGGTTTGGTGCCCCTTGCTGATTATACACTGTTGTACAATCCTTTTGGATAAGTGCCCCTTGTTGATCATACATTGTTGCACAATCCTTTGGGTTAAGTGCCCCTTGTTGATCATATACTGTTGTACAATCCTT